AGCATAAAATTGTCTCGGCTGCCAAGAGCGCGGCCTTGGTGGTGATTTTTCGCAAAATGTTCGATAAATAAGTATTGCGCAGGTCGTTGACCCGAAACCGATCGCGCAACCGGCGTGAAAAAATATTACAACGTATTGCCGTAGAACGTGACTTCGAGCGGCGCTTTCAAGTAATAAAACATTAAATTATTGACAATTCAATAATAGACATTTAAGTAATTATAACGCTTGTTAATTTACAATTTAAAAATCAATAATACTTCTGGTGTTTTGTGCTGATTGATTTTGTTGGAATCGTCGATTGTGAAATATTGGCTCTGCAGTGCTGCCGCGGATAATTGTAACACTCCGAGTAATTACTTGGGTTCTAACTTAGTATATAGCAAAAGGGTGGTCATACGATGATAATAGAATGCAAATAATGAAGTAAAGGAGTTATTCAAACTACGTTATCTTCTCGAATTTTCAACATCTGACTACTTAGTTACACAATAATAAAACAATTAGTTCAGTAAAAAGTTATTCAATCAAGGGTCAATAAACTGAGAAAATCCATAGATACAAGCAACAATCGAGGTGTTCTTGTTAACCCTACTTTCTTTACACCTGTAGCGAATTAAATTATTGTATCTATTTATCGTGGCAATGAATCGGCGGGGGGTTGCTGGGGGATGGCCGCTTGTACACCGCACCTGTCTGCAAGTACATTGTTCCTATTTATTTTAGATACACCTATCACTTAGGACTAAGTCAAAGTTAGTTTGTACGATAGCTTGAGTGAAAGTATGCTTAAGAAAGGAATGAATTCAAACATGACGTCGGATAGAGATGTATGGAAGTGCATTGCGTACTGTACCGATCCTTTGTAGACAAGGGCAATTGATGACGATGATGAATTCGCCAAGGGATTATGATGAAACGATACAAATGATCACATTAAAAGTAAAATATAATTTTAAACTACGGGAGATCTTAGACTAAAGTTTTAAAGGTCCTCTCACTATCATTATATGCTTTAGTTTTTATTTCGTGATGATTATGTTAATATCGTTCACGTCCAATCTTCATTGTCAAAGTAAGACAAAAATTTGTGCCAAGAAATCCGTTAAGTTTGTAACTTAAAGCCGTCGAGATACGAGATCTAAGTCAGCTAAGTGGCTCTCGACTTGACATGCGCAACATAGCATGCACGCCGCATCATGCATTACAATCAAATTAAGATGTTTTACTTATATTTAAGTCTTTAAGTTATTTTTTTAGATGTCGCTATTATCATAGTTTAATAATTGATTTTGTGACTACAAAATTACTGTCGCCTGTTAAATAATTTGACAGAGAAAATGTAAAAAGAAAATGAGGAGCCTAATGCTACTTTAAAACGCAAGAAATCTACACATCGGTTATTTTTCCATCAGTCATTTAAATAATAAACTTATTGTAAATAATTAATCATACTAATATTATTAATGCGAATCTTTAGATGGATGGATGGATGTTTGTTAGAGTTTGTAGTCTACGAGTAAACGGCTAAATAAACCTCAATGAAATTTGGCATAGACGTAGAGGATAGTTTGGAGGAACTCATAGGCTTACTCACTTTTGTTTTTATTTTAATTCCACGCGGACGGAGTCACGGGTGTTATATAGTGAGATACGTACGAAATGTAATAGTAATAATTCTCTTATCATTGCTTGAGATACTGTGAGTAAAATTGTTAAATAATGAGCTACAATTAATTCGATCTCTATCAATTGAGAGTAAGTTATTGAAAATTAGAACAGATTTTGGAGTGTTATCTCTGTAATGCACATTCGGACTAGACCGGAATGCGTGGAGCCCTCGAGCGCGATTTTGGAAAGTGTTGATGTAAGCGATTAGGCTTCGATAGCAAAACTCCCAGCCTTGAGGTAGGTTATCCGCCGCGCACAGAGCACCGCCGCGGCAGAGGCGGACATCGCTATTGTGAATCACCAC